ATACTGAAAATGATTCAAATCATGTGAGATGGGATTAAACTTTGTCTAACTTGATTTTCAAACTCTGCAGGCTCTAACCTGAAGGTAGCTTGCTCACAGGTAACAGCATTATTACGCTTCTCTCTCAAAAATGGGTTATTATCTGGATCCTGGGACAGTTTGGACCCATTTTCCTACCTGTGCACAGAACTTGGACTTGGCCACAGCGATGATGAGCTTCACCACAGGGGAGATCTGGGCCTGCAGAGGAGTTACCGTATGGACCACAGCTGTGAACAGCTGCGATGGGCTCTTACCTGCAGCACAAACAAAGCAGGATGAGAAGATGGAGCGCTGCTTCAGACTCCACCACAGATTTCCGGACAAATCAATCCTGATCTCTGCTTCGCTCATCAGACGTCAGCACATCTGTTCGCTTTTCACTTCAACAAGGAGGAGGAAAGACGTCCAGTCAGTTTCATTTTGGTCTTTTTATTGTTGCTGCTCATTCACTGAGTATTTCTACGTTGTGAAAACCTTTTAAAGCTCATTACATAAGTTATAAAATAAACAATCTCAGATGAGAGGTTGTGCTTGACTTTTTCCATTGTCTGTCGTTTTGACTGACGGTGGCCATAAACAAAAATTTAAATTAAAACAATGACATTCAGTTGCATTTAATTTTCAAAACAGAAGCAGATGAATGCATGAAACTTTTCTCCAAAGTGACAGTAACTATATCTAAACAATACAATAAAAATATTACACTTGATGTCGATCTGGAGGCTGAATCTGCACTAGAGTCTGGGATTACAGGTGAAACTTTTGAAATCAGGGAACATTTCTCCAATTGAGGTGATTAGAAATTGGCAAAACTCTCTGAACGATTGGTTTTCTAAACCCACAAGCCCTCGCATTGGTGGGAGGAAATCCTAAAACAATGCTTCAGCTGCTCCAAAGCGTCAAGTTCTGCTAGCACAACCTGTTAATGCTAAAGCTAGTTAGCATGGCTAGGCCTGTCACAATAACTAATGTTTCTGGACTATTAATCATCCTAGAAGTTATTGTAACAATAATATTGTTGTTTTGAGACAATTTGTCAGTAATCTAACGGTTATAATGACAAATAATTCAAGAACACATTCTCAAAGATCAATAAACTTTAAATTCTGATGAACATTTAACACTGGAACTGAAAGACATTTTAAATATCCAAAATAAATCATAAAAACAACAAATGAAGTTCCAGGAAACAAAATTACCCTTCAAAACAAGGTTAAGTCCAAAACTCCAGACTGAAGACTTTTATCATCCACTTTTTGGTAGCAAGAGAAAAACGATAAATCATGACATTGGAAATTATTGAGTTTATTTTAATTTATCATGCAATTAATTGATTTATTGATTATTGTGACAGACCTTAGCATGGCCACTGATGATGGCAGAGAAACGGTTTTCTTGTAACAGCGAGTTGTTAATTTGCCACTAACATGTTTAGCAGCGAGTACATGAGAATGATTGACAGTGCTAAGAACCTCCTCTTGGCTCTGATTGGATGTTTGTGCATTTCTTCAGACGGGAGAAATTAAAAAAAAAAAAGTGGAATTGTTTAGAGTTTGAAAAGTTGCTAGAAAAACAAAAATTTTGAGATTAACTTTCTGAAAATTTTCTGAGTTTGAAAAGTGGAAGGAATTGGAAAGGATAGATCTTTTCATAAATTGTCACAACATTTTGACAGTTTAAAAAAAGTGAAAAAAAAAAAAAAAGAAAAAAAGTAGAAGTGACAAGTAAAAGTGATCTGTGAGCCAAATCCAGTCCAGTCCCGGTCTCATGTGAAGTTCTACTTGAGTAACTTTTTGGAAAAACTTTACTTTCAGGAGTATTTTTACTACTCTGTACTTTTTCACTTGAGTAATTTTATTATTATTCATTAAAATGTCTAGATTTTCTCCCCACTGACTGAAAAACAAAAACGTTTTAACCAAAAATTAAGACGCACACCTGTAGTTTTTGTTAAAGTTTCATAAATTTTTATTTATTTGGAAAAAAAATATTTTGCCTGATTGTCATTTTTTTTGCATGTTTGTATTTTTTATATGAATAATTATCATTTTCATCCTTAAAATACCTAAATTTCCACATAACTTTACATCTTGACCTGTTTGTTTATGTAATGTTTAAATATTAAATGACTGATAAGTTGATCAGCACTTTTTACCAAATACTTTTTTACTCTTACTCAACTAATTTTTACTTGAGTAAGAACATGTTAAGTATTGCTACTCTTACTAGAGTCCAATTCTTTGGTTCTCTACCACTTTTAGACTTACATTATAAGCAATTATGAGAAAGAAAGATGGTGTGCAGCCAACAATAAACGTAGAAATCTATGAAAGATAAATGGAGGAAGATGTGGAAGCGCGCAGACGTTTTGATATGTAGGGCAGCCGAAGCGAGCCGGGCTGCAGTGGGAACAGAAGCGCCGTCTGTTTGGGAACCGGGGATCCTCATGGATAGGTGAAGTGCTCTTTAGTGCAGCTCTATCCATCTCGCCGACGCTGCCATCGGCCGTCTCAAGTGGGCTTGCTGGTATTTATGGAAGCAGGAGCTTTGCCCTTGTGGGGGTCGCACAAACGGGCGCGTGCTTTTGGTTTCCTGGAAAGAGCAACGCCGCTCTGATTAATATTAATATGCTAATGTTTTCCAGCAGGGCGGTTTTAATTGGAATGAGTCGATTTAAAACTCGCCTGATGTTTGAGGAATGTGGATGTGTGTCTGATTACAGAAATGTTTCTCATTGGAAACACCCAGGTTTGGTTTTGAGACAACAGGTCTGCTGCAATAAGAAGTAAATACGTTTATCGCTCAATAATTTCCATTTATTTAGCTTTTTTCTTTGTACCAAAACCTGGATGAGAAAAGTCTTAAAAAAGAGAGTCAGCTGAGAACAAAACAAATTTAAGTATAAATTTCTTTACAATGACTTCATAACTTATTTTATTTTTTAAAGTTTGATTTTTGAGAATGTGTTCTTGTATTATTACTCCCTGAAAATGTTTCCAAAACAAAAATATTAAAGTTTATCACAATAATTTCTGAGACAATTTATCATCTAGTAAAATTTATCTTGACGTTTTCACTGCAAACAATGAATAAGAAAAAAATAAACTGTAATTCAGATGTAATTTGCTTTAAAATTTATTACAATGGACTGAATTTGAAAATTAAAAGAATATCAAAGGTTTTAATTAAACTGAAGTGTGAAAGTATCTATCCAGCTGAGATTTACCTTTATGCTATAATAGAAGCTAAACCAAATTACTTTTAGCATTTTTTGCTTTTTTTAAAATGTCAACCATAAAAGTGAAACTTTTTTTTAAAAAGACAAAAACCTTCAGCGCTCATTAGAGCCACACATTGATGGAAGAAAACAGATTTTTAGAGACTCATTTGGTTAAATTGATCAAATCTAAATCACAGGAACGACTAAGCTGAGCAATAATTACACATTTACCCTTTTCCTTAAAAAATATTTTCAAATTAAAAGACTTGAATAAAGGAGAAATGGCTGGCGGCTCAGCTAAAGGTCATTGTTGCAAAGCTAATGAGCCATTTCACTTTTTTTCGCATTACAGCCACAAACTAAATCTTTTTATTGTGATTTTCTTATGTACTCTCCTCATACAGAGTGGAAGGAAAATGAAGCGTGACTTTCTGTTATTTTTAACAACTGAATTGAACTCAAGCTGAGCTGCAGCTTCTGCCATCGTATCAAGATATTCGTCCTGCTCCTCGGGCCAAAACGTCTGAGCAGCAGGTCAAACTTTTTCAAAATGCCAGGCAGAAGTTGCAACTGCTTTGCCATCAAAAGTTATGGAAAGGTAGCAGAGTGAGACGGCCGAACACGCGGCGCTGACGGTAAGTTATTCCCCCAGCAGCAGCGGCAGAAATAGTAATTTACTGCAGAGGCATAAACAAAATGGCTCCCTGCTCTGCACCTCCTAACCCGAGTGTCCACAATTCCTGCGAGGAAGACAAACATCGATCTGAGTTACAGCCGGAGTCCAGGGAGAATCGCTGCGGTCGCCGCTCACACACACCCACGCACCCTGCAGCTGAAAGTTTCAAACTCCAACACCATTTATATTCACATTACAAACATTAAGAGCTTTGTATCCTCAACACGTCTTCAATCTGCACAGAAATGTTCAGCTGTAAAGCGTCAGAAGATTCATTTATATGCTTGGGAAAAATGGAGTCAGTCTTAAAGCTGCAGATTGTGACTTTATCAAAAATATGTTGTTTTTTTGTTTATTAAAACTGTAACCAACGTTGTTACAGTACGGTATGTATTAGGGCCGTTGTAGACAGATAAATAAGGAGGCGTCAATTTTCTGCCAAAATTAGTCAAAAATTTGTATATAAAAAAAATCTGAACCGCAAAATTTAAAAGTTTGCTAGAAAAAATGCATCAGAAATGTAGACAAAACATGGAACTTTCTGAACTACAAAAGTTCAAAATTTCCCAGCAAAATTTTTGAAGTCTGTCAAGAAAATTTTAGAAAAAATGTTGAAATTTCTGAACTACAAAAGTTGAACACTTGTTAGAAAAAAATGTTGAAATTTTTATATTCATCTCATAAATTTTCTAGAAAAAATGTGTTTGAAAGTCAAAGAAAAAACTAGAAATGTTTAAATTAATCTAATAAACTATTTTAATAATCTAAAAAAATTCTAGAAAATACATGGACATTTCAGAAATCAGTGATTCTTCAGAATAGGGACAAAATGGGTTTTAATTTTCCCATATATATATATTTTTTTTATTATTTATCAACCTTATGTATGCAA